GGGGGCGCAGTGTTTCCAAAACAGGAAGGATCTTTCACAAACTTTGACTATTGATGATCTTGAAATTTTCTGAGACACAATTTCACTTCAGATCATTGAAATGCGCCGAAGAGAATCAACCAAAACCACAAACGGGGTTTTCGAGCTATGGTGACATCATGGACAAACATGGGCTCAACTAAAAAGTTAAAAACCATAAAGTTGAAATAAACACATAATTTGATGCCAGATCATTGAAAACGTGCCGCGAAGAGAATCAACCGAAAGGCTAAGGCACATAACCGGAGTTCTGAGATATACTGACAAACATGGTCTAAACTAACAAACAATAAAGTCGAATAAACACTGAAATTGCACTAAATTAACAATCCCCTCCTTTGTGCCCGAAAAGCTCCAGACCATACATACCGTAGTACCTGGCCAAGGCTGCTGACCCTCTTCCTCCCCCTTTTCACCTCCCCTCTCTTCTCTCCCTTTCTCCTCGTACACATCCATGCGCCAAACGCACACAATGGCTTCTGACCCTACGGTACTGTACAAAGTTACGAATAATCACAGCGTGCTCGGTCGCTGTGTACGTCCAGGTACGTCCTCTCTTTTCCACAGCTACCCAGCTGCACGTGCCTGTCTTTACCATTCTACAAATGCCTTCAGCCACTCAGCCTTACATCCTGGGAAAAGCTGGATTTGAGCCCGCGACTTCTGGCGTGACAGACCAGCGCGCCTCCAGATTGTTTCTTTCGCTTACACTACCCATCGCAGTCGTCGTCCAGCATATCTCCAAGATATCTTGGACGACAAAACGAGTCCGAATGAGTGAATCATCCCTGCAGAGAATGAGACACAAGCGACACCTGCCATGACATTCATGCTACCTTTGCATCGATTCGGACGATTCCCTTGAGCCCCAAACTGTTGCCAGAGATGACATCCAAACAACTAGCAGAAAAAGTTAAGGATCAATCAGACAAAGCAAGGATCAATCAGGGCATACTCACATTAACACTGTTTTACGTATATCTGGATGGAATCGCAGCCAGATGCGGACTGGTCAGGCTGTCAATGCCACCGGATGCATTCAAGATAGTGCTAGCGTGAGTACAACGTCCTCAGAGAGTTTGATAACAACGAGGAGCGGTCTCAAAATACGTCACAGTGCACCTGAATAAGTCAGCATAAGTTAGCATGAACTCCGAACGATATCGAAACGGTGACAACGGAATGATGTCTGAATGACGTCAGAATTACATCAGGGTAGGTGGAAACGATGTCCGAATGATGTCAGAGTAAGTGAAGACGAGTAAATTTGTCTGGAAACACGTGAAGTGAGAGACGCGCGATTCACGCTGATGAGGTGGCTGGCAGACATAACCGGCAAAGAAAGGACTTTGAAGGCGAGAAAAACAGGAAGTCGAAAAAAAACAGGGAGTCGAAAAAGAGGGATGCGGCGAGAAAGCAAGTGGACCTGAGGGGAGGGAGAGGGGTTGTGCTTCAGGGAGGGTGCCAGACAGAATGCCTGCAAGCAAGGATGCGCACGTGTGTGGAAACATCAGCTCAGGATAGGCATTGGGTGCCATGGTCCAGTCTGGCAATGGTCCCAAAGCAGAGCATCTAACATGCGCCATCTCCGATGGTGCATCAGACAATGGCGACCAACCCATGTCATGGGGGGGTCACAGTTTTATCAGGGTTGACCTTGCTGCTGGGTCCGGAAGAGTCTACTATATTTGCGTCGGGGCCGTGAGAAATAGACAGGGGTTTCGATTTGATCTTGACAAGTGGAACTAGGGATTGAACGACATCGGTCATGAGCGGACGATACTCGGCTTCCTGTTGCACACACGTAGTGGCAACTGCGGCAACCTGCACCAAATCCTTAAAGGCAAACTGTCCCTGCAAGGCAGGGTCTACCATTTTCAGCACCTGCTCGCGATCATTAAGCATAGGGAGAGCCCAAGAGACGAGAACCGTCTCTCCAAGTGGTCGCTTGGAATCAACAGGCAACCTACCTGTCAAAAGCTCGAGCAAAACCACTCCATAACTGTACACGTCCGACTTCGTTGTCAGGTGTCCAGTCAGCGCGTACTCAGGAGCCACGTAACCCTGTGTGCCAAGCACCCGGGTCGACACATGTCCGCCGGCTCGCTCGGGGCCCAGCTTCGCAAGGCCGAAATCCGACACCTTGGCGCAAAAATTCTGGTCCAGTAGGACATTGCTGCTCTTGAAATCTCGATGTATCACAGGCGGGTTGGCCTTCTCATGCAGGTACTCCAGCCCTCGTGCTGCATCCAATGCAATCCGCAGACGCGTATTCCAATCTAGCACCAGGCAACTGCCGTGCTTTCCATCCGAGTGCAGGTGTTCCTGCAGACTTCCGTTCGGCATGTATTCGTACACGAGCAGCCGATGATCCATGTCTGCGCAGTATCCGATCATGCGTAAGAGGTAAGGAGAGCTCAGACTGCTAAGCATATAAACCTCGACTTTGAACTCGCGTTCTCCTTGTCGCCCTGTCCGATCAAGTCGCTTCACCGCTGCAACACTTCCATTCGGAAGAACGGCCCGATATACCGACCCAAAACCGCCCTCGCCCACAATATTCGCCGGACTGAAGTTGTTCGTGGCAAGCTGAAGAGCCCTGTATGTGAACACCTGCGGTGCTGCACCTGCCGGATCCAGTCCAACCAGCATCTGGTGGTCTCTCTGCGACTCCTTGTTTGCGAGTTCAGGTACGTGTTTCCCAAACTCACTCTCCGACTTCTTTCGGATCCAGTAGTAATACAGAAGGGCAAGAGAAAGAGCCCCAACAACAGCCGCACTGAGCGCGCACACAAAGATGACCGCGAAAGTCAGGGAAGACCCACCCGCCCTTTTCTCCTCCATTTCCTTCTTCACAAGCGTAGTGTCCTGTGGGCACTCTGATGTGCAAAGGAGTCGGTTCCCCGTAACGTTCACAGACACATTCATCGAAAAATTTGGCAGCACACCGGACAAGTCGTTCAAGCTCAAGTCCAGGTTTTCCAGATTGTGCAGGTTCGTAAGGCTGTCTGGTATTGCCCCATTAAATCGGTTCCGGGACAACACCAGATCTTGAAGGCCTGCTAGCCTCCCAAGCGACACTGGTAGCACGCCCCCCAAGCTTGCATTCACCAATACAAGTTTAGTGATTTCTGTGAGGTTTCCTATTGCTTCCGGCAGCGACCCTCCCAAATGCACATCCCTCAGCTGCACACTATTCACAGCTTGGAGGTCTCCGTTCTGGACCGACGCCTTGCACTCGATTCCCTCCCAAAGTGACCATGGCTCACAGGGATCGGAGCCACTCCAAATTGGTGATGTGCCCGAAGCAAAGGCAGTATTCCTCAGTTCCTGCAAAGCCACAAGATCCTGATCGATTGTTCTTGACATGGCACCATGCGCACACAAAAAAAGGAGGACAAAGATGCCCAGGGCATGGACTCGGGGGCGAAGCCGGTGCCAAGTAAGCAGCGACATCTCACATGAGGAAAACCAGCATCCGCGTGCACATCGATTTTCTCCTCCAACTGAGGACAGTTGCTGGCCCACCTGTTTTCGCCTTCACCTACAAATGGCCAGTATTATCATCATTGATCAATTACCAGCATGAGCTCTACTCAATTTCTCCTCCTTGGCTTCAATCAATTTAGGGTACCATGTTTGTCCCCTCCATAATGACACACATTCTCACATTTTTTTACCATTGCAAACGCAGCCCTGTTACAACCAGTACGGCCAACAGCAGTTAGAATTCATTACCATCTGTCTTAATCCAGTCGAGAAGCAGCAAGCGCCCATCAGCAAGCACACATGATTACCTTGTGTTGTCTGTGTTTCATTTTTTTTCCCCAGCACCATCCAGCGCACATCGGTGAACTTCGAGTGGCATTCTGGGACCGAGGGAGAGGTGTCTTAAGTTAAACCACCAGTACCTCGCTCAGCTATTGAATCCGAGCCTCCCAGCACGCTACGCGCCAAGTCCTGCCGAACCGCCGTCGCAATTTTCTTTTTCGTTTTGCCTGCGGCCTCCAGCCAATGTGGTCCGGCAGGCCGAAGCCCAAATGGCGCGGCGCGTATACGGGAAGCGCCGCGGCTGATAGCTGGGCCAAGTACTGGTGATTTAAAAAAAGATGTACATCATATATAATCTCCACATTTTCCATCTGCGACCTGCCTAATCCCAACTTACAGAAACATACTCCAACTAGCAAATGGCCCACCATTTCTCGACCACTGCAAAAATTTCACCTGCACCGTGCTCGCATAGCTACAACGAGTAAAAGCAAGTGCCAGGGACAAGCGGGCTTCATCAACTAGTGTTCTAGTCGTCGTTTCAGCGTAGACACCGCTGCAACTGCCAGCCTTGGTTATCTTCCAGGTGAAGGAATTCTGGGATAAAGAAGAACAGACGACTTGAATTGCGAGTCCAAAAAAAGGGGGAAAAAACGACCGAACAAAGCGATAATGAAACCTCTTGAGCGCACATCTTCGACAAACATATTGCAATCGGCAAATGCGCCAAATTCTGTGGACCCCTGCTGAAATTTCACCTTCACAGTGCCGACATAGCAACAACCTACTCGGCATTTGGAAAACGCAGATCCACCGTCTCTCGCCAAATGGGGGGACCTTTTCAGCACCCCTCCCCTCCCTGTCCGACAAGAGAGAACATTTCCGCACACAAGAAAAGAAAAGAAAAAAAAAGCTGCCCAGCATCTTTCCCCAAATGGGGGGGCCTTTTCAGCACCCCTCCCCTCCATTTCCGACAAGAGAGAACATTTCCACACACAAGAAAAGAAGAGAAAAAAAAAGCTGCCCAGCATCTTTCCCCAAATGGGGGGGAGCTTTCAGCACCCGTCCCCTCCATTTCCGACAAGATTGAACATTTCCGCACACAAGAAAAGAAAAGAAAAAGAAACAAAAAGCTGCTGCCATTCCAGGCCAAGCCATCCTATGACATCAATCAACGCTGATCATTTACAATTACAAGTGCGAGGCATAAGGCCTCGATACGCCCTACTGGGCCCTATTTTCAGTACAGTCAGCCGCCCTAAGTGAAGGCAGGCTCGACCGAGGCCTACAGGCCATTTTTGGGGTCACTTCGCAACTGGGGAAATTCAGGCAGTTGTGCAGCGTCAGTTGGTTGGAAGCGCCCAGGCCCAGGCTGCCTTTCATCGTATGTAACTGAGGCAGGCCCTAGGCCGGATACACAGTATGGACCGAACAAAGGCTGAGGGCGGTTGGGCGCTAGTAACCACCACAGGCCCTGGGCCTGCTTCCTCTGGACTGAGGCTCAGCCTCGTGGGGCCTACCGGAAGCTTCTGGGCCGGGGCCCAGTACCGCATTATGGCACGCAGCAGCAGGCCACTTCAATATAGGGAAGCGCCTGCCCACGCATTGGACATTCGGGCACTGGCTGCATGCTGCGCAATCGCTGCTGCGTTAACGCTGGCCAGCGCTCACGCGCTCACGGGCGCACTGGAAGGAGCACGCAGCCATAGCCGAGCTGCGTTGCTGTATGCTGTATGGGGCGCATGGTGGTCTTTGGGTGCAAGTGGCATCTGTGAGTTGGGGATCGAGGTTGTGAGTGATATGAGAGACATACCTGGTGCTTGAGGCGAACGGCATTGGCCAAGATCTGCTCGTACTTGCAATTTGGTATCAGAGCTGTGGTACGGTGCGCTCATCTGGCGCTTGTCTTCTGTCTAAGCGGTACATGCACGCGGTCTACTGAGCGAGCGGTCGTGGGATGTGTGTAGTGAGGAGGGCGAAGGCAAGTAGGGCCACTCAGGAGAAGAGGGGTATTGCCAAGAAGGCTATGTGGTGAATACTGGGTATTCGCAGTGTGACGAGAACTATCCGATGTGCGATTGATGCTGAGGTGGAATGGCGGTGTAATGCTGGTTGTGCCGAAGCAGAGATTGGTCATCACAATCGACATTGGGTCATCTGGTGAGAATATCTGTGGTTGGGGGCAGCTATTTTGAGGTACATCGCACCTAACCTTAGCTACCCTCTTCGACACTTCTTATCGTGAGGATGTGTGTTCTCTCTTGAGAGTCCTCTCATGTGTGAGGAGTTGAGTGCGCTCAACCTTGAGAGTCGTCAGTGTTCACGTGGAGCATCTGGAAGGAGAGGGCGGTGCTATCTGAAGGGCCCTGGACGAAGCACTGGGTCACGGTCACCATGCCAACCCACCAGGAGTAGAGCACGCATGCTTTGCCGCTTTGTCCTTTGTCTGCTCGCTGCGCTACAGAGGGGTTCTTAGGGGCAGGCCAGCCCTACGGGAAAGACGAGTACCGGGCGTCTATAAATAAACACCAGCGGGGACCTTCCATTGGCTGTGATCGCTGTGCTGTTTGCGACGTTAAATAATTCCTGAGGACTTCGGGGGCCGTCCATAAAAACGCCTCCTGATCAGCCAATCGGTCAGTGTAAGGCTCGCTGCACGCGAGGATAAATACGGTGTAGGGCTGGCCAGCTCAGCAGGACTCAGGGAACAAGGGTGGGCCGTGTGCACACCTTTAGACACGCACGCTTTTCCGGATTGCTCAGGGACGTTGACAACAAGAGACATTCAGGAAGAACTGAGGGAGGGGTAGATTCCAGGTGATAAGTTCGGGCAAGATTCCATTCTGCAAACAGACCCAACAAATGATTCTATTTTTATTTTGATTAGTTAGATATACAGCCATTAACATCTGACAGACAGCATAGTTAGAACTGTTTTCTGTTCATTGTGCTTTCAGGTTGCGAACTAGTCAAAGTCAAAGTAGTTTCGTTTGTAGGAATCTGAACTTACCTGTTGGACCCAAATGTCTAGTCTCTGACATAGCCACCGATTATTTATTTTTTCTTATTTCTAAATCGTTTGTACATCATGCTGCGGTAGGCATCGAGAGTGTCCTAGTGCAGACAGTGTACAGTGTTGTGGCCTATGAGCGAAAGGGAGGAAACTAGAGAGGACGACTGGATCCTGCGATCAGCGAGACGCCCGATAGCCCACTTGGCATTATGACCAGAGGGCGACAGACACCTGTTCCGCCAGCAGAGGGAGAGACAGCAGCAGCAGCGGAGGGCTAAGGCCGCGGAGGCAAGCAGGGCATTCGCGAACGAGGCCGCTACCCCAGCAGCCATGGCATCTGCCGCGCAGCAGAGCTCTCAAGCTAGTAGTTCAGGTTCTGTAGGGTCAACGGTCGCACAGACCATGAGTCAGTCCACTGGCGTTATGGCAAGTCTACTGATAGTTTTGACCCCCGAGGAGGTCGCCATACAGCGAGCAGCTATTCGCAAGGCACAGCCACAGCAGGCGTTAGGAGAGATTAAGGTAGAGAAAGAGAAGATGATTAGAAGAAGAGCCAAGATGCAGCGGAGACAAACGGACGTCAGTGAGTTCGAGGGCATGGATCTAACGCACATGGATGCAGATGTGAGGACGTTGTGGACAGTTCTACTAGGTGTAGTAGAATTGCAGGACCACCACACGGCCCTCCTTTAGGACATCCCGCTGGCCTTGTTGGTCGGGCTAGCGCAGACAGCTCCATCGCTGTCCGGGCCTAGTGCCTGACCCGTTGTATCCCATCGGTGACTGGGGTATCCCCATATGTACTCCAACATCGGTCCAAGCCACTTCCCTAGGCATGCCGTTGACAGGAGGGTTCTCAACAGGTCCTAGTGTACAGGCTCCTGTACAGACAGTGTTTTCCAAACCTCCGTCGCAGGTTGCCGTAAGCGGGCAGCCTGTTGTCTCTCAGCCTGCACAGCCGCAGGGTACACAACCCCAACAGCAGCTGATGTAGCAGCCTGCACCCCAGGGTCCACAACTCGGAGTGGTGCAAGTACCGAGACAAACACAATGGGTTCCAAAGACTTTGCAGGGTCCACAGCTCGGAGTGGTGCAAGTACCGGGACAAACACAATGGGTTCCAAAGACGGCCATCGCCTCACCTAAACCCTTTTCAGGGGACAAGAGGGGCGAAGATCTCGACACTTGGTTGAAGTCAATGCCAATCTATGTAAAGTGTAAATTGACCTTGCCGCACGAGGAAGTGTTTGTGGCTGCCTCTTATTTAGAGGGGAGTGCAGCAAGATGGTTGAGTGGTTTAGTGCAACTACAGGGATACGGTCATGACTTCCGCGCTTAGGCAGTCAACCATAAATTGAACGACTTCCTCAAGCTGGTGGAAGACAGGTGGCATGATCCTCAGGAGGCTCAAAAGGCCACTGATGCGATCCTGACATTGAACAACAGACAGTTCAAGTCAGTAAGGGAGGCCACAAACACAGTAGAGCGTTTGATCTGTGTCCCTGGAGTGCGCTACGACCCCCAGGTTTTACTCACCTCATACCTGAGATGCTTTCCTTTGACTCTCAGGAACCAGTTGGCAGAGGCCAACATCAACATGCACAACTTTCCCTCGTTCAGTAAGAAGGCCCTAGACCTAGAAGCGAAGATAGGGCATGGACATACACCCACGACGGATGGAAGGAAGAAGTCACTGCCTCCCAACTGGAATGAGAAGAGTCGCATCATGTTCGTCGACAACGTTGGATCTACCATCGGATTAGAAGACAGACTTCCAGGCGGGAGTGGGTTCAGAGGCACGCAGTGTAGAGGCTTCAAGGGGKGGAGTAGTCGCTGCCTCAGTACAAAAAGGTAAGGCGACCGGTAGAAGCCGTGGAGGTTCCCGGTCTAGGAGTCAAGTTGACCCCAACGCTCCTCCATGGGAGAAAGCGGGTCTAACAGAGGACGTGTGGAGAGACCGGTACACCCGGCAGGCTTGTATCCGTTGTGGCCAATAGGGCCACAATCAGTTCAAGTGTCGTAATAAGAAGGTGACTCGAGAAGATGACGGAGAAGATCCCCCCTACGATGGGGCAGGCGTTGGGATCCTCCGCTCCCGTTGGTAGCAATGTGGCCAGCAGTTCTGGCACTGCTCGGGGAGACGCGTCGGGCCAGTAGGAATAGTAGTTGTTCCTGCTAGGGTCGAGGTGGTGGTTCCTGCTAGGGTCGAGGTGGTGGTTCCTGCTAGGGTCGAGGTGGTGGATACACCCTCACCATCTCGAGAGATGGCCTAAGCTACTGACTCCGTTGTCGTCCCGCAAACACATTCAGACCCATCGAGCCTCTGTTCGATAAATGTGTTTGAGTCCCTAGAGGAGCTAGAGGAGGAGTGGTCCAAATCAGACCCGCTAGCTTCTTGGAAGGCCTTGACTAAAGCCCCTAGGAGTGAGATGTTCGTCGACGAGGTAGTCATCGGCGGCCGCAAGGCCGCCGCCTATTATGACACTTGCTCGACACGGAACTTCATTAGTTATGCGTGCGTTGAGAGGTTACACTTACAGGGGCAAGTGCAGCGGCTGAGTCGACCTGTGGAGTCGACCTGTGCCAATAAACAGCGCATGGTAGTCAATGACTACCTCAAAGGCATTGAGTGTTTTTTCCCATATGCAGGAGGGGAACTGAGACATCGCGGCTCGTTCCTAGTTAGCGATGATCTCCCAATGGACATCTTGTTAGGTATGTACTACCTCTCGGTTGCACAGCCCCAATTTGTTTGGGACCGAAAAGTGGTCAAACACACTTTGCCCAGAGGGGGAACCACCAAATTACGTGAGTTCAAAGCTCGTAGTCTGATTGAGTCCTACGGATGCATGTGTGCGGCCGCGTTTTACAACTATTATAAGCAAAATCCGGAGGAGGGTATGTATTTAGTTTACGTCTCTGCAGAGGGTAAGCCGGTGAAAACGCCTCCAGAGATGAAGGGAGTGGTCGCTAAGTACCCTGATCTATTTGAAGAGCCGAAAGGGGTTGTTGAGAGGGAGGTCGTCCACACGATAGAGATTATCCCAGGGTCTAGCATTCCGAAGGGTAGAATCTATCGGATGTCTCCAAGTGAGCTCGATGAGCTTCACCGGCAACTCAAGGATCTCATAGAGAACGGTTGGATCCGGCCTAGTGTTTCCCCTTATGGATCGCCAGTCTTATTTGTACTGAAGAAGGGGGGGACCTTGAGGATGTGCATTGACTATAGGGGCCTCAATGCCATCACATTAAAGAACGCAGAGCCCCTACCGCGCATCGACGACTTATTGGATCGAGTGCAAGGGTGTCGGTACTTCAGTAAGATAGATTTGAAGTCCAGGTACCATCAGATTGCAATACGGCCCGAGGATCAACACAAAACTGCATTTCAGACCAGGTACGGTCTGTACGAGGTTGTAGTGATGCCTTTTGGCCTTTGCAATGCTCCTGGCACCTTTCAGCATGCGATGAACAAGATATTTCATGACTACTTTGACAAGTTTGTCATCGTGTACCTCGATGACGTACTTATCTTTAGTACGACTGTCGAGGAGCATGTAACGCACTTAGATAAAATCCTTAGCCTCCTCAGACAGCACCAGTCCAAGATCAACCGGGAGAAGTGTGAGTTTGGCCGCACCCGGATCTTGTATCTGGGTCATGAGATTTCCGCGGAGGGTTTGAAGCCCGATGACGCGAAGGTAGCCAGCATTTAGGACTAGCCGCGTCCTCAGTCTGTGACTCAGATGAGGTCCTTAGGGATGACATGCTACTACCGCAACTTTGTTCAGAATTATAGTATAGTGGCCGCCCCTTTGACGGACTTGACACGCCTTGACACCCCATGGGAGTGGACAAACAAGTGTGAGGCTGCTTTCAGACATCTGAAGCATCCGTTGACACACCATGAGGACAAGTTTGTTATCGTGTACCTCGATGACGTACTTATATTTAGTACGACTGTCGAGGAGCATGTAACGCGATAAAGTCCTTAGCCTCCTCAGACAGCACCAGTCCAAGATCAACCAAGAGAAGTGTGAGTTTGGTCGCACCCGGATCTTGTATCTGGGTCATGAGATTTCCGCGGAGGGTTTGAAGCCCGATGACGCGAAGGTGGCCAGCATTCATGACTGGCCGCGTCCTTAGTCTATGACTGAGATGAGGTCCTTATGGATGACATGCTACTACCGCAACTTTGTTCAAAATTATAGTATAGTGGCCGCCCCTTTGACGGACTTGACACGCCTTGACACCCCATGGGAGTGGACAGACAGGTGTGAGGCTGCTTTCAGACATCTGAAGCATCCGTTGACACGCCATGAGGTCTTGAAACTTCCTAATCCTGATAAACCTTTCATTGTGACTACGGATGTCATCCAATATGGCATTGGTGCCGTACTTGTGCAGCAGGAGGGGAAGAAGTTGAGGCCGGTAGAGTACATGTCCAAAAAGATGCCCTCTCAAAAGTTGGCCAAGTCCACCTATGAGAAGGAGCTCTATGCGATCTACAAAGCGCTAACCCATTGGAGGCACTACCTCCTAGGTCGCTTCTTCTATGTCAGGACTGATCATCAGACCCGGGGGAGTACAGCAAGGTTGTTGATGCGCTGTCACGTAGGCCAGATTTTCTCGGTGCGCTGGTCATTGAATTTGGGCTTGCAGACGATGTTACTCAGTCTTTGGTGGAAGCCTATCGCGAGGACCCATTCATGTCAACGATCATACGCAAACTCGAGGTGAAGGATAAGGCTACGTCTGAAGAGTTTGAGTTGATCAATGGCCTGCTGTTCCTTGAGAAGGCCGGGAATAAACGTCTTTGTGTGCCTAATCGAGAGTCTTTGCATAGTTTATTTTTAGGAGAATGTCATGATGCCACCGGACATTTTGGGTATAAAAAGACTGCAGCAAATCTGTTGCAGCGGTTTTGGTGGCCCACGATGATGAGAGATGCCAAACTGTATGTTGAGACTTGTCAAGTTTGTCAACGAGACAAGCCCCGAACACAAGCTCCTCTAGGGTTTCTCAAGCTCCTTCCCATTCCGGAAAGGCCTGGTGAAAGCCTGTCCATGGATTTCATGGATACGCTAGTCACCAGCAAGAGTGGCATGAGGTACATCTACATGATCGTGGATAGATCTATTAAGTATGCTAGACTAGTAGCTATGCCAGAAACAGCAAAGACTAGTATGTGATCAAACTGTTCACGGAAAACTGGGTTAGAGACTTTGGCCTACCGAAGTCTATAATCAGAGACAGGGATGTCCGATTCACTTCGGCTATAATGAGAGACAAGGATGTCCGATTCACCAGTGATCTGTGGAAGGCCGCAGCTGCCGAACAAGGAACACAGCTGCAGATGACATCTGGAAACCATCCGAAGGCAAATGGACAGGCAGAGCAAATGAGCCGCGTTGTCCAACACTTGCTCAAGCATTACATTAAGCCTAATCAAGTGGACTGGGATGAGAAGCGCGCTCTCATCGCCAGCCTGTACAACAACGCAGTTCATAGTGCTACGGGAGTAAGTCCTAACAGTCTGCTATTGACTTTCAAGCCTAGACTGCCCCTAGACTTTCTGTTACCTGAGAACCAGCCCACTGCTGCTCCGAGCACTTTGGAATTTGCCTATAGATATGAGAAACATATGCAGCAGGCGGTAGAACACATGCACAAAGCACAGGCGGCGACGATCGAATCTGAGAACAAGCACCGCCGCCCATCTACGTTTCAGGTAGGGGACAGAGGCTGCGTCAAGGCTTTAGAACTGGGACAAGAGCACGAGATCTCCGGTAAGCTCATGCCACAGTACTTGGGCCATGGGAGGTTCTAGATGTAGTGGGGAATGAACCAGACGGACCCTCATATGTTATTCGGATCCCTGGACACCTTCGTACCTACACTGTTTTTCACGCCTCTAAGCTTGCACCATTCAAAAAAACTGAACAGTTTCCCACTCGTCGCTCAATGCTGCCCCCAACCATGGACGGAGAGGTCGACATCGACGACATCGTGGACCAAGGAAATGCCCATTCCAAAACCGACAGGCAGGGGACGTCCTCCGAGGCTGAAGCTGCAGTACGGGGTTCGGTTCAGGCATCACACTGATCCAAAGGAGGATAGATGGTTCACACGGGAGGAGCTGATGCAGACCGCACCGGAGGTTGTCGCCCACTATGAGAAGTTGCTGCAGAAAGGAAAGCGCCAGATTGAATGAACTTCTCAGAGGACTAGCGAAGTATGTAGGAGGGAATGCGAGGCATCAGGCCTCCATACGCCCTATTGGGCCCTATTTTCAGTACAGTCGGCCGCCCTAAGTGAAGGCAGGCTCGACCGAGGCCTACAGGCCATTTTTGGGGTCACTACGCAACTGGGGAAATTCAGGCAATTGTGCAGCGCCAGTTGGTTGGAAGCGCCCAGGCCCAGGCTGCCTTTCATCGTATGTAACTGAGGCAGGCCCTGGGCCGGATACACAACATGGACCGAACAAAGGCYGAGGGCAGTTGGGCGCCAGTAACCACCACAGGCCTAGGGCCTGTTTCCTCTGGACTGAGGCTCAGCCTCGTGGGGCCTACCGGAAGCTTCTGGGCCGGGGCCCAGTACCGCATTATAGCATGCAGCAGCAGGCCACTTCGAAATAGGGGAGGGCCTGCCCACGCATTGGACATTCGGGCACTGGCTGCATGCTGCGCAAGCGCTGCTGCGCTAACGCTGGCCAGCGCTCACGCGCTCACGGGCGAGCTGGAAGGAGCAGGCAGCCATAGCCGAGCTGCGCTGCTGTATGCTGGATGGGGGCATGGTGGTCTTTGGGTGCAAGTGGCATCTGTGAGTTGGGGATCGAGGTCGTGAGTGATTCGAGAGACATACCTGGTGCTTGAGGCAAAGGGCATTGGCCGAGATCTGCTCGTACTTCGGGGAGCTGTTGACGTCATCAGCGGCATTGTAGATAGGCTAGATAGGATCTGCCATTTGTAGTCTGGGCGCCGAGCGCCAGATAAGATATCGACATTGGTTCTTCGATGATGATGATGAGACTATTCCAGCATTGTCAATTATGAGTTTTTGCTGTGCTCTTATTTGGTGGAACTCATGATGCAATTCTGCTATTGGTTCGAGGTCACGACTATCTGGTCTCATGTGTATGATGCTGTTTGATTTCTGAAGTTCACTATCGTTCATTTTCCTTGCACAAGTAAGCATAGTCTGTGTGATAACCAAAAAAAGAATGTCACGTGCAAAACAAAAAGACAACCAAAAGGAAGACGTCAATCAACGCTGATCATTTACAATTACAAGTAAGCAGAGTCTGTGTGATAACCAAAAAAAGAATGTCGAGTGCAAAACAAAAAGACAACCAAAAGGAAAGCCAGACTCGTCTGGAGATATGCGGCAGTGATGTGGACACAAGCTGCAGTTAAAAGCGAGGAACAACCATCTGCACAAACAGCGCCACAATCCCGTGACTGCACCCACAACCGCATAACTGTGCAATCGGCTACCGATAGGAAAAATGGGACCACAGAATAATGATGATGTCACATGGTTGCATCCCTGCCGACCGCCGACCCCGACCGCCGACCCCGACCGCCGACCCCGACCGCCGACCGTATTGCAGCCGACCAGTAGGGCCGACCGGTCGACGGTCTGCCGACCAGTCAGAAAACAACCATCCACTAATTTTTTTTCAGATCTGAGTTGGAAGCTGTAATGCGCTTGCTGAGTACAGCTTAAATCCGCTGAGAAACTTTTGGGGATGGGGGGGTTGGGGGTGGGGTGTATAGGGGGATATAGGGGGGTATAGGGGTGGTATC